TGAAAATGACAAATTGGGCTTCCGGGGCGCATGCGGGCGGCCCCACTGGCGCCTTCGATGGAGCTCCTTGTGGGGCCACGAAACGCCGTACTGCGTGGGTGAAAAAAGCACATTCGGCTTCCGAATCGCACGCGGGCGGCCCCACTGGGTGCTTCGGTGGAGTTCCATATGGGGCCACGAAACGCTGCGCTGCGTAGGTGACAATGCCGAATTATGTTTCTGGGACGCACGCGGGCGGTCCCACTGGGGGCTTCGGTGGAGCTCCCTATGGGGCCCCGACACGCTGTACCTGGCGGGTGAAAATGCAAAACTGAACACGTGGGACGCATGCGGGCGGCCCCACTGGGGGCTTCGGTGGAGCTCCCTATGGGGCCACGAAGCGCTGTGCTGGGCGGGTGAAAATCCGAAATTAAGTTTCTGGGGCACACGCGGGCGGCCCCCACTGGGAGCTTCGGTGGAGCTCCCTAAGGGGCCACGAAACGCTATACTGGGTGGATGAAAATCGAGATTGAGCTTCCAGGGCGCACGCGGGCGGCCCCACTGGGGGCTCCGGCGGGGCACCCTACGGGGCCACGAAACGCTGCACTGTGCGGGTGAAAATACCAAATTGGGCTTCCGGAGCGCATGCGGGCGGCCCCACTGGAGACTTCGGTGGAGCTCGACGCACGCGGGCGGCCCCACTGGGGGCTTCGGTGGAGCTCCTTGCGGTGCCACGAAGGAGGGAGGACGAACGCGGTGACCGTCTCGTCAAAACGAGGACCCAACACCACATGATGATCAGGAAAAACCCGCGCTGGCGCTCTTGCGATTCTCAAGAAACCCATAAATTGCTTCTCAACGGCGTCCAAAAATACCACCACGCGGAGCTTCGCGCGCCCACGCGCGCGCGCCGTCGCGAGAACCCCCCGCAACGGCGGGGCCCCGCCGCCCCCGCGCCCCGCCGACCTGGTCTGAGCTCGGAACCAGCCAAACCACTGGCCTGGCTCTTCCCAGGAGGCCCCGGGGCCACACCCGACCACTGGGAGCAGGAGGGGGGGGGGCCCTGGCACGAGCCAGCCTCGCTACAAACTTTGGCGACCGCGCGGCTCCCGCGAGGGGGCGGCGAGACTAGGGCCGGAGACGCCCCCGACGCCGAAGCCCCCGCATCTCCGAGACCTCTCCCTGGGTAGGAGGCCCCTTGTCATGGACATTCCAGCCGCGGCGCGAAAGCGCTACCAATGGAACGCCCTCCTAGAAAAGAACGACGGGCGCGACGCCACGCGGTTGCAGCGCCCCCCTGCGCCAGGGCCCTCCACACAGTCGCCCCCCGCCGCGCGCGGGGCGCAGCGTTCTCGCGGGACGCGCAATCGCCCCGAGGAGCATGCGCTGCCCGAGGAACTAAAGCAGCAGATCGCACTCGTTCGTTATTGCGGTTGCGCCCTGCTGCTCGGCTGACATCGCTGCCTGCCTGCTATGTTAGCTGCCCAATGCGCTAAGTCTGCTGCCCCCCGCTGCCGCGCAGACGCGGCGGGCGGGATTGCCGCGAGGATCTGGGCGCGCAGACCGAATTTCAATTTAAAATACGAATACAGTGAGAAAAAACCACCCCCTGCACTTACGAATTTCAGAATGCTCATGCGTCTTCAGACTTTTTCCCCAGTCCGAACGGTCATGCCCGGCACTGCCACAATTTATGGGAGGGCGGTCGCGCCAGGCTCTGCAACCTTCACACTGCGCCCCACACCCCGAGCCCCACATTCGACAACACCACCGGGTCTTCGAGACGCGCCGTGGACAAAACGTCTGCCGACTTGTTGCCGGCGCCAACGCGGTCGCACCATACGGCGACGCCGAGGCCGCCCAAGGTGGCGCTGGCGACCAGCGCCACAAAGCACATCGTCTCCGTCGGGCCCCCGGCTTGGACCAGCGTTGTCTCCGCGCTCGCGTTGTCCAGGAAACATACGACGTTTTTGCACTCGGGGGCCGAGTAGACCAGCATCAGGGCCGCCATCAGCTCCGCTCGGTTGATCACTGTGCCGACCTCGCCCAACAAGGACCGCATCTGCTCCGAGACGTCGTAGACGAAGATCGCTGGCACTCTGCCCATCTCGAAGATGACGCCTCCGATCCTGACCGTGGATCCCTCGACGATGTCGTCCATGTAGTCGACTACCAGCGGGTCCGGCCGCTGGAATGTGTCGAAGACAACATGAGACATCGCCTCCAAAATGGCCAAGTAGCGGATGGCATGGCCCAGATTCGGCGTGACACTGAGCTCGCGCTCGTAATGTTGGCGAGCGCCAAATGCGGCCGTGGTACTCCGAAACGGGCGCATGGCCCCTCCTGAGGATGGCCTGTAGATTCGCCTGGAGGTCTTCGCGGGCACCCAGTGTCGGACCATAGGCGATCGCCAGGTCCAGGCACAGCGCGGACACGTCGAAGACATAGCCCGGGAATGTGAAGGCAGCAGGTACAACTAAGGGGCCGAAGTGGCTGCGCGACAGCCAGCCGGGGCAGCCGGCCACGCAGCCAGCTGGGGCCGACGGCCGCCCCCCCTGGGAAGTGTGAGGGGGGCCAGGGTACCGACCCCACCTTCCTATTTTGCGTCTTTTCGTTTTGTTTAGTATGCGTCTTCTGTTTCGTCTTATTGATATCGTTATTATGATTATGATTGTTATGATTAGTGGCATTCATATTACTGGTACCACTACTAATGTGTGTTTTCTTATTTTGTCTTCTCACTAGTATGAGAGTTATTGTTCATACTATTCGTACCCTTCCGTTTATACGATTACTTATACCATCATTCATATTATTGTTGTTAGTCTTGCGAATATAACTATTAGTATCAGTGTTCTTCTGAAAATTCCACATATTACTATTAAAATTATCAGTTATCTTCGTCTTCCTCTTCTTCTTCGTCGTCTTCCTCTTCGTCTCCCTCCTCCTCCTCGTCCTCCTCCTCATCATCATCATCATCATCATCATCATCAGCATCAGCATCATCATCATCAGCATCATCATCAGCATCGTCATCACCAGCATCAGCATCAGCAGCAGCAGCAGCATCATCATCAGCACCATCATCATCAGAATCACCACCACCACCACCATCACCACCACCACCATCATCATCATCATCATCATCATCATCATCATCATCATCATCATCATCATCATCATCATCAAACTCATCATCATCCTCATCCTCATCATCCTCCGCATCATCACCAGCATCATCACCATCATCATCACAATCCTCATCATCATGATCATGAGCATGATCATGGTCTTGATAATGATCAGAGTCATCATCATAATCATAAACATCAGCAGCAGCATCATCCCCCTCCTCCTGCTCCTCCTTCTACCCCACAGCAGCAGCCGCTGGAGCATCAGCAGCAGCAGCAGCAGCATCACAATCATCATCATAATCATCATCATCATCATCATCATCATCATCATCATCATCATCATCATCATCATCATTAGACCCATCATCATCATTCATCATCATCATCAGCATCATCATAACCATCATCATCAGCAGCAGCGGCACCATCATCACCATCGTCATCGTCGTCATCATCACCACCATCACAATCATCATCATCATCATCATCATTATCATGATCATCATCATCATCATCATCATCATCATCATCATCATCATCATCGTCGTCAACATCGTCATCATCATCATCGTCATCATCCTCATCAGAAGCAGCATCGTCAGCATCGCCATCAGCACCGTCATTATCAATAGAATCATAATCATCTTCAGCACCATCATTGGAAGCGACATCATCATAATCGTCGTCGTCGCCGCCGTAATCATCATCATCATCATCATCAGCAGCATCGTCATCATCATCATCATCATCATCATCATCATCATCATCATCGTCAGTATCATCGTCATCGTCATCGCCATCATCATCATCATCATCAGCATCGTAATCATCACCTGCATCATCATCATCCCCATCATCATCACAATCCTCATCATCATGATCAGCATCATCAGCATCAGCATTGGCATCATAAGCATCGCCATCAGATGCAGCCGCGTCGTCATCACCATTGTCATCATCGTCATCAGCATCATCACCATCGTGCTCATCCTCAGCATCATCATTATCAGCATCAACATCAGCAGCAGCATCACCATCGACATCATCCTAATCCTAATCCTCCTCAAAATGACCATGAGCATCAACAATGACAATGACATCAGCAGCATAAACATCAGCATCGAAAACAACAACTGCATAATCATCCTAATCACCTCCATATCATCATCATTATCATCATCTGCAGCATCATCATCAGCAGCATGAGCATCATCATCAGAATCATCATCATCATCATCATCATCATCACCAGCATCAGCATCCATCATCATCATCATCATCATCATCATCAGCATCATCATCATCCTCATCATCATCATCATCATCATCATCAGCATCATCATCCGAATCATCATCATCACCATCAACATCAGCATCAGCATCAGCATCATCATCATCAATATCCCCATCATCAGCCTTATCATCATCATCCTCATCAGGTCCTCATCATCATCATCATCATCAGCATCATCATCATCAGCAGCATCATCATTATCCTCATAATCATCATCCCCATCATCATCCTCGTCCTCATCATCATCCACAGCATGTCATCCTCCTCATCATCCTCGTCCTCCTCCTCCTCCTCATCATCATCCTCATCCTGATCCTCATCCACATCCTCATCATCCTCGTCATCATGTCCTCCGCTTCATCCGCATCCTCATTATGGTCATCATCATCCTCATCATCATCATCATCATCGTCATCGTCATCGTCATCGTCATCGTCATCATCATCATCATCATCATCATCATCATCATCATCATCATCATCATCATCATCATCATCATCATCATCATCATCGCCGACCTCCTGATTCCTCCTCCTCCTCGTGCCCCTGATCCTCCCCGTCTTGCAGACAAACTTCCCTGCCACCCGGGCGTCCACTGGTAGGCGTTCTTGAACTCCCTGCAGTCCATGCCGAGAAACTCGGAGCCGCTGCACCACTCGGACGTGCTGTAGCGCGCCTGCGTACGAGGGGAAACACACCAAGACGCGGTTTAGGACAGCCCGACAAAAACAAGAAGGCCATGGGGGACAAAGTGAGAAACATACCGAGAAGCGGCTTGGGATAGGCCGACAAAAACAAGAAAACGGTGGGGGACAAAGGCTGAGAAACACACCGAGCGGCGGTGTTTAACGGGCCAGCAAAAACAATTAGCATAACGAAAGACCCAACCAAATGCAGATGCGAGTACCTCGAGGGAGATGAGACGAATAAAGGGGGGGGCGCGCAAACTCCGAGTAGCGCACGCGAATTAGCTTAAGCGGCTGCGAGAACCGCAAATGGGGCCTTCAGTGGAGCTCCCTTGTAGGGTCACGAACCGTGTGAGAGGCGCGCCGAAATTTGGGCGGAACTGCATGCGAACCCTGCCGCTGGGGCCTTCGGTGGACTCCCACATGGGGCCATGAACCGTGTGAGGGGTGCGCCGAAATGAGGGTGGAACTGCATGCGAACAATGCCTCTGGGGCCTTCGATGGAGCTCCCTATGGGGCAACGAACCGTGTGAGGGGTGCGCCGAAATGAGGGTGCAACTGCATGCGAACCCTGCCACTGAAGCATTCGGTGGAGCTCTTACCATGTTTAGCATGAGAAAACGAGGCCCTGAGGGAAACGGGTCCTGGGCCCCGCGGCCTTCCCCTAGGACGAGATCGTTATCCTGAGCCATTTTCTGACAATCCCGGGGCCCCTGAGGGCCCCATGACTCGGAAAATGGCGGAAAAAAACTCAGGACAAGTTTCCCTCAGGGCCCGTTTCTCGGCGGCGAGCGATGAAGGGAAGTGAGAAAGTCCCACGGCCTTCTGAGAGATTTCTGAGCCTTCCCCGAGGACACAGAACAGCTCTCAGAAGGCGCGGGGGGGTTCTGGGAAGTCCCGCCGCCTCCTGCGAGGACCTTCTCCTTCTCACTTCCCCCCCTCGCTCGCCGCCGAATTTCCCCTATGGCGAACCTGCCTCGGGGATCTGCTGACCAGGGCCAAGCCAGACCCGGGTCAGCCAAGCCGACCAGCCATAACTGGGGGACCTGTGGCCCTTACCCCCCTAGGGGAACCCATCGCATCGATGATCTCTCGAGAGGGGTGTCGAAATCGATGGGTACACCAGGGGGGTAAGGACCACAGCTCCCCCAGTTGTGGCTGGCCTGCCAAGCCCTGCTGGATCCTTCAAGATCCCACAGAATCGTGCAGAATCCTGCACCCAAGCCGGCAGTGCGACCCTGGAGCTGCAGGGCCCTGCAAAATCTGGCGCTCTGGCTGACCACCGTTTGCACTGACCCCCGTCTCGCGAGTCTGCCCCACAAGTAGAGATCGCCAACTAATGCAACAGCAGGATCAGATGATAGAAGGAACGCGGCGCTTTGCTGTGTTGCGAGCATGGAATCCTGGTCTTCATCCCGACCATCATGTTCCCGCCGTCCTCATACTGTTTCTCCTCATTTTGCCCGCCGCGCAAATCACTCCTCCTTGGAAGACTTGGAGGATAAGGAAGCGTGGGGGACGAGGCGACATGGATGAAGACGGCGAGGCGGAGGAGGCAAAAGGGAGGAGGAAGAGGCCAGGAAGCAGGGCAGAGGAGGCAGGAGGCAGAACGGAGGAGGCACGAGGGAGGAGCAGCAGGACGACGGTGCGGAGCGGCTACCCGAAGCGCACGGCCTCGAAAGTGACAGCGACCAACTCCCTCCTGCACGCCAACTTGTGAATCGGCACCACCCGTGCGGCCGTGCAGCAGCACCGCGAAGGGGGATCACAGCGGGTGCGACGCCGAAGCCAAGCCGCCGAAGCGGAGAGAGGCGGACCGGGAGGGGGCGCAAGCAGAGTCAGCGAGAGCGGATGAGGACCAAAGAGCGGCCCGCAGCCATCCGCCCCTGCAGGCGGAGGCGGCGGCGAGGAAAGAAGACGCGGGGAGGCACCAGGAGGTAAGAAGGGAAGACAGGAGGAGGGAGGCGGCCAGCAGGAAGACTGAGGAGGGAGGATCACGGATCGGCAGCGCTTTGATGAAGGAGGGGGGAGGAGGAGGGTAATGAGGGCAATGACACTGCGAGCGCGGGTCGATTCCGCGCTCCTCGGCGCATGCCGCGCGCCGACGCCCCATCCCGAAGGAATCTCAATGCCCCCTGGGTGATCATTGGGCACCAGCGGAAGCCCAAAAGGGCCGACGAGGCCCGCAGGCCGCCCAGGCCACCGAGGCCACCCCACCCCCACACGCACCCCAGAACCCAGGAGCCCAAGGAGCACGCGAGAGGGAAGGGACCCCTCGAGGCCCTAAATGCCTTAGGGCTTCCCCGAGTGACGACACTCGACGATCCCCCGAACCTTGAAGTATTCCCAAAACTGTTTCGCGTACAAATTCGAGAAGCTCACGCGCCTGTGCCATTCGAATCCGTCGACATGCATGCGCTCCTCTCCTTGATGCACAGCTTGCTTCCCCTTTCGATGACCGGCCGCGCTCGGCAGCGACCCAGAGCAGCTCAGCCATCTATGGGTCGAGCATCTGCGCCGCCTCGAGGATCTACTGGACCTTCGGTATCCTGCGCTGCCGTCCCGATCTGCTGCTGATCCACATTCTCGATCTCGTCATGCTCGAACTGGAACGGGCATCCTGTACTGCCTCCTCGAAAACCACATCGTCGGAGATGTCTGATGTTTAGGAGTCGTCCTGCCGCTCGTCCACGTCCTCCTCGCCGCTTGCCAGCCCCGCGAACTTGCTGCTGACATCAAATGCGATTGTGAGGTGTCCTGGCTTCTCGATATGCTCCCCATCATCCTTCTCGATGATATCCTGCGCCGCATTCTCAATCTGCTGCTTGTCAATTTCCACGAACTCATCCTCGAAGTTGGCGGTGTCCTGCACCGCCTTCTCGTCGCCAGTGCTTAGGAGAACGACCTGCTTTTTGTCTGTATCACCGATCGTCGCGCCATCCCCGAACTGGTTGTCAAGGTTGCTCTCCTTTACCTTCTCGATATGCTCATCGAGTGTGCCATAGATGTCGGCACTGCTACCACCTATGGTCTCGCTCTCGATGCTCTGCTTGTCGTGCTCTGTGCCGTCGACGCCTGAGCCTTCCAGCACCTGAGCCATAGTGTTGAAGACGTCCGCCGGCTTGCCGTAGAAGTCGAAGATATTCACGATCGTGGCCCCGCTCCCCATGCCAATGAAGAAACAGCCATCAGCAACTCCAGCTCCATCCAGCAGGCTGGCCACGGTATCCTGCTTGCCGTCGCAGTAGGTACCACTCACACCGAGCCAAACCACCAAATCATCCTGCTCCGAGTCGTCCACGTCACTGGCGTTGGCCAGGTAGTAGTTCACGACATCTCCAGCGGCTGCTTCTGTCTCTTTTTGCTCTTCTTCTCCTTTTTGATATTATTGTGTTTCTTCTCCTTGCGCTCCAGTACAGGCCTCGCACCTTCCCAACCAAGTGGTGGTTGAGAATGTTTCCCCTCCTGCATCACGTCGAAAAGGCTCCTGGGGCTCTTTGGCGGTGACGGTGGCCTTGGTACCCGTGGACACGCAGAGGTCCTGCTGGACGGGACGACGAGCGCGGGCGCCTTGAGCGAGACCTGGATGTTCTTGAAGTTCCCGCCGATCCCGACGATATGGGCACCGCCGTCAAGATTGCACGCCTCGACTGCGTCACCTCCCACTCGCCAGGGGGGGGCGATGGGGCCCTGTCCTCCAGGGCGAATTGCGGCTGCTGCGGCGCCACCGTAGGGCGGGGCCGTCCCGTAGGCCTCACCATTGCTGGCACCACCTCCCAAGGCGATCTGCGCAGGGCTGCCTGCACGCCCGCCTCCACCGCCGCCTGGACCGCCGTGTTGACAAGGCGGTCGATGTCCTGGACGCGCGGCGAGCGGCTCCTCCACGGTGCTCTCGGGGCGCTCGGGGAGTCCCGCCATGCCATGCGCGCCCACCCGGCACTTGGCTCGGCAGCGCCGCGCCGCTGCGAAGTGCGCGCTGCCACCGCTCCCCTGAGCGCGCGGCGGCTGGGGGGAAGAGGAGGAGGAGGAGGAGGAGGAGGAGGAGGAGGAGGAGGAGGAGGGAGAAAGGGGAGGAGTGGGAGGGAGGCGGCGGGAGAAGGACGGAGGAGAAGGAGGAGGAGGCGAGGAGGGCAGGAGAGCAGAAAGGAGGAGCAGCCGCAGCAATGGTGGCCTTGACGTACTCCATCAGGTGGTAAGACAGCCCGATGCAGAGGCACACCTGGGCCCCTCTTCCCGCGTGCCTCCCTAAAGCGCCCCGAGAAGAATCGAAGAAGCATCCCTGAGAACTCTGACCCACAACCCAGGCACGGTGGCGGGATGTGCCGAAGGCCAATATCTCTCTCTCTCTCTCCCTATATCCATCTCTCTCTCTATCTCTTACTCTCTCTCTCTCTCTCTATCCCTTTCTCTCGTCAAAGGAGACTGGGCCCGCGACTGACTGCACAGCAGGATGAAGCTGTCATCTACGATACCGCGCAAAAAAGGCGGCGCTGCCCCCATCGATTCCTACCATCCTCGTACTCCGACCTACGCTCCCATCCACCATATGCCCACTCTCCCTGCTGCGCCTCCTCGCCCCGCTCACTGATTCTGCATACGTCCTCACATCTTCTGCCTTATCATGTATCCCTGCTCCTTTATCGTAAGTACTGTCGTGGTCGTCGTCGTCGTCGTGATCAATATCAGCATCATCATCATCATCCTCATCATCATCATCATCATCATCATCATCATCATCATCATCGTCAGCAGCAGCAGCATCATCATCATCAACAGTATCAGCATCAGCATCATCAGTATCAGCAGCATCAGCAGCAGCAGCAACCACAGCAACGACAACAGCAGCGTCATCGTGATTGGTATCGTCTGTGTCATCGTCATCATCACCGTCCTCCCTCTCATTACACTCGTCATCCTGCTCATCCCCCTCGTCCTCGCTGGCAGAGGGCAACAAAAGGCCGCTCCAAGAAAATCCACACACACACACACATACACACATCCACACAGTCCCCCTGGGCGCAACCCAGGCATCATCGTTACCTGACTTCTGGCCGACGTCCAGCCATGACAACGAGGGAGGCGTCGAAAAGTTCCATGAAAGAGCGGAAAGGAGGAGGATGAAGGGGGATCGGTTCCAGCCCCCTGGCGGCACCATCTTCACGAACTTGTTCATGCGCAGGCTGTCGGTGGTGGCACACAGCATAACGAACAGGGGCAGGTACGACAGGAATCGCAGGATGTCCCCCAGCCTAGGGTGATCGAGGACACGTCAGAAGCTGCTCCCCCCATCCTCCAAATCCTCGTCATCAACAAAAGCATCATCAGCGTCGTCGTCGCCGCCACCACCACCGCGTCGTGTTCGCCATTGTCATCACCAACGTTGTCATCGCCGTCCTAATAAGTCATTGGTCATCTGCTCCACATCCTCATCAGCAACATGTTCCGCATTATCATCAGCAGCAGCATCATCGTCGGCGATATCATTATCGTCGGCACCATCATCATCATCATCATCATCATCATCATCATCACCACCACCATCATCATCATCATCAGCAGCAGCATCATCAGCATCAGCATCAGCATCAGCATCATCATCATCATCATCATCATCATCATCATCATCACCATCACCATCATCATCACCAGCATCATCATCATCCTTATTATCATCATCATCAGTATCATCATCATCGTCATCATCATCATCCTCATCGTCATCGTCACCATCATAATCAGCATCATCAGCAGCATCAGAATCATCAGCATCATCATCATCACCAACCCCACTATCATCATCATCAGCATCATCACCACATCATCATCATCATCATCAGCATCATCTTCATCGTTATCATCATCGATGTCGTCGTGATCCTCCTCATCGTTATCAGCACCACCATCGTCAGCAGCGTCGACAGCATCATCATCATCCTCCTCCTCATCATCGTCATCATCATCATCGTCATCATCAGCATCATCAGAATCGTCATCATCAGCATGAGCATCGTCCGCATCGTCATCGTCATTATAATCGTCATCAGCATCCTCATCCTCATCATGGGAGTCATCCTCCTCGTTGTCATCGTCATCGTCATCATCATCCTCGTCAACATCATCATCAGCACCATCACTATCACGTCCTCATCATAATCATCATCATCATCAGCAGCATCATCATCATGATCATCATCATCATTGTCATCGTCATCGTCATCGTCATCGTGATCATGATCAGCAGCAGCATCATCATCAACATCAGCATCACCATCATCATCATAATCAGTATCAGCATGATCGTCATCATTAATATCATCATCGTCGTCATCATCATCTCCATCATCATCAGAATCAGATTCATCGTCGTCATTTTCTCAAGTAGCATCAGTATCATCAGCAGCAACACCATCATCATCAGCAGCATCATCACCATCAGCATCAGCATTATCATCATTGCCATCAGCATCATCATCACCAGCACCATCATCATCAGCATCATCATCGTCATCATCATCACCCCAATCATCATCACCAACAGCATCGTCATCATCAGTATCAGCGTCAGTGTCATCAGCATCATCAGCATCATCATCACAATCACAATCACCATCATCATCATCATCATCCACATCATCCGAATCATCAGAATCATCATCATCATCATCAGCATCAGCATCAGCAGCAGCAGCAGCCGCAGCAGCATCATCATCGTCATCATCCCTCCGCTCGCCCTCCTTCTTCCGTCTGCACTACGTCTCGACCATCACTCCTCCATCCCTCCCTCCTCCTGCCTCCCTGCGTCCCCTCCCGTCTCATCCCTCCCTCCTTCCCTTCCTGAATTGGTCCTTCTTCTAATCCCTCCTTCTTCCTCCCCCCGTTTCCTCTTTCCTCCTCCCTCCTCCTCCTCTCTCCCTCCTTCCCCCCCTCCCTCCCGTCCCTCCCCTTCCCTCCCCTCCCTCCTTCCCTCCTTTCTCCCCCGTCCCTCCCGAGCGTGCCTTTGGGGGGTGCCGCGGCAACTCTCCGCCCGTGAGGGGCCGCGCGCCGGGCCCCGGGCTGCCACTCCCAGTTGTACACGTGGGGCTCGTCCCAGATGCTGTGGCGGTTCAGCAGCAGCGCGACCTGCGACCGCGGGCCCTGGAACTTCGCTCCTCCTCGCTCCTGCTCGCTCCTCGCTCCTCGCGCCTCGCTCCTCGATCCTTGCTCCTCGTTCCTCGCTCCTCGCTCCTCGCTTCTCCGCCTCTTCTCCTCCGCCTCCTCCTCCTTTTCTTCTTCCTCCTCCTCCTCCTCCTCCTTCTGCTACTCCTCCTCCTCCTCCTCCTCCTCCTCCTCCTCCTTTGCCTCCGCCTCCGCCTCCTCCTCCTCCGCCTCCTCCTCCTCCACCGCCTCCTCCACCCTCCTCCGCCCTCCTCCTCCTCCTCCTCCTCCTCCTCCTCCCCTTCTTGTTATTATTATTCTGGGTTTTATCATTTTTTTTATTGTTATGAACAGTGTTATTATTATTATTATTATTATTATTAGTAGTATTAGTAGTAGTAATATTATTATTAGTATTATTAGTATTACTATGAGTATCATTGGTATTATTATTATGACTATTAATATTATTAATATTATTATTATTATGAATATTCTTCTAATGTTTAATATTTTTTTCTGATTCGCATTAGTATTAGTTGTGTTGTTTTCTCATTCTTAGCATTCGTATCCGTACTACGCTTATTGTTCGGAGTATTACTATTATCATTATTAGTCCTCGTATTAGTATCCTTATTGTCATCCGTATTATCATTGTTCGTAATACTAGTATTCCTTTTTACGATTCGAATTATTGTTGCTGTGCAATAATACTCTTAGCATGATATTAGTCATAGTACGAATTATCGTAATACTACTACTACTACTAATAATACTACTACTACTACTGCTACTACTACTACTACTACTACTACTACTACTACTACTACGATTACTACTACTACTACTACTACTACTACTACTACTACTACTATTTACTATTATCATGAGTATGAAGATTGTGATGTGTGCTGTTCATTTTACTAGTTGTATTCGTCTTATGCTTCTTCTTATTACTCTGAGTAGTAGTCCTCCTCCACCTCTTCCTCCCCTTCCTCCTCGTAATAGCATAAGTATTACAAGTACCATTCGTATGACTACGATCACGAATATCAGTAGCATCATATTACTAATACCATTAATAAGTATGATATCATTACGGCTGCTGCCACTACTACTACTACTACTACTACTACTGCTACTACTGCTACTACTACTACAAATAATACTACTACTACTACTACTACTACTACTACTACTACTACTACTACTACTACTACTACTACTACTACAACTACTACTACTACTACTACTACTACTACTACTACTACTACTACTACTACTACTACTACTACTACGACTACGACTACGACTACGATAACTACTACTACTACTACTACTACTACCACGAAAACTACTACTACTACTACTACTACTACGACTACTACTACTACTACTACTACAAAATATCAAAGTGCGACCCTACCTAGGAGTTGGAGCCTCTAGGAAAGCAACATTAGCAGCAGCAATAGTGGATGCTGTGCTGCACTATGCTATGCTATGCTATGCTGTGCTGTGCTGTGCTATGCTATGCTATGCTATGCTATGCTATGCTGCGCAATGTTATGCTGGGCTACGCTAGGCTATGCTATGCTATGCTGTGATGTGCTATGCTATGCTATGCTATGCTGCACTGTGCTATGCTGAGCAATGCTATGCTATGCTATGCTATGCTGCGCTATGCTATGCTATGCTATGCTATGCTGAGCTATGCTATGCTATGCTATGCTACGCTTGGCTATGATATGCTATGTTGTACTGTGCTAGTGCTGCGCTGCGCTATGCTGCGCTAAGCTAAGCTTAGCTAAGTTAAGCTAAGCTCTGCTAAGCTAAGCTAAGCTCTGCTAAGCTAAGCTAAGCTAACTTAAGCTAGGCTAGGCTAAGCTAAGCTAAGCTAAGCTAAGCTAAGCTAGGCCAAGCCAAGCCAAGCTAAGCTAAGCTAAGCTAAGATGAGATAAGCTAAGCAAAGCTAAGCTAAGCTACGCTAAGTTAAGCTAAGCCAAGTCAGCCTAGGCAAAGCTAAGCTAAGCTAAGCTAAGCTGAGATAAGCTAAGCTAAGCTAAGCTAAGCTGGGTGAACCCAAGGGCCCCAACTGAGGGAACCGCGGGGCGGATGCCGGGGAACCGCCCGGGGCGGGGTCCACTGCCCGCCCCTTTCAGATATAGGGCAAGAACCCTTCTAGGCAGAGCCTAGGTAGGGAACTACTACTACTACTACTACTACTACTACTACTGCTACTGCTACTGCTACTGCTACTACGACTAGTACTACTACTACTACTACTACTACTACTACTACTACTACTACTACTACTACTACTTCTACTACTACTACTACTACTACTACTACTACTACTACTACCACTAGTACGACTACAACAACTACTACTACTACTACTACTACTACTACCACTACTACTACTACTACTACTACCACTACTACTACTACTACTACTACTACTACTACTACTACTACTACTACTGCTGCTACTAGTACTACTGCTACTACTGCTACGACTACAATTACTACTATAACTATCCGTATTGCTAGTAGTCTGATTAGAAGTACGAAAAGTACTACTGTGATTATTAGTAGTAGCATTGTTGTTCTCATCAGCCCTGGGAATATAGTGTCAATAGTATTACAGCTGCTAGTTTGTCATTAGTAGCAGGATGAGTGTTAGTAGTATTAGTACTAGACTTGTTACTACACTTGCTGCCCTTAATTCTATCACTGGAACAAGTGTCCGTGGTATTGATATTACTACTAATATTAGTGGTCTGTCCAGTACGATTGTGATTATTAGCCGTGCCATTGCGATTATTATGAATAGTACTAAGAAATAAAGGTAATCTATTTATTCAACACGTTATAAGCACGATTCGTCGTATGAACATTCTTCTTCTGATATTAGTAATACCTTTGTTCTTCTCGTCGTTGAACTACTTCGTTGACACTAATTACTAATAGTGTTCGTTTGATTGCTCTTATTACGAACGCGAAAGATAGTATTGTTAGCCTTCGTCTTGTATGTCTTATTCATATTAATAGCGCTATTCTTAATTTTATTAGTAATAAGTTTGCTCTTCTTATGCTTGTGTTCGTCGTTCTCATCCTCCTCCTCCGCCTCCTCCTCCTCCTCGCTCTCCTCGCTCTCCCCGCTCTCCTCGCTCTCCTTGCTCTCCTCGCTCTCCCCGCTCTCCTCGCTCTCCTCGCTCTCCTCGCTCTCCTCGCTCTCCTCGCTCTCCTCGCTCTCCTCGCTATCCTCGCTCTCATCGTTCCGCTCTTTTCGCTATCTTCGCTTTCCTCGCTCTCCTCGCTCTCCTCGCTCTCCTTGATCACCTCTCGGGGGCGCGCAAACATGGATTAGCGATCTATAGTTTTCGCGCGCGGTCACCAGATCCATGGATCGGGGGAGGTGTCCTCCCCAAGATGCGGCCGAAATCCACGATTTTCTGTGGAAAAGGGGCCCGCCGCTAATCCACGCCCCCTTGATCCATGCTTGCGATCGCCTGATCCTCGCTCTCCTCGCTCCCCCCGCTCTCCCCGCTCTCCGCGCTCTCCCCGTTCTCCTCCCCTCCCCTCCTCCGCCTCATCCTCCGCCTCCTCCTCCTCCTCCTCCTCCTCCTCATCCTCCTCCCTCATCCTCCTTCCTCCTCCTCCTCCCTCATCCTCCTTCCTCCTCCTCCTCCTCCTCCTCCTCTCCTCCTCCTCCTCCTCCTCTTCATCATTCTCTTCATCATCTCTTCCTCTCCTCTCCTCCTCCTCCTCCTCCTCCTCCTCCTCATCATCATCATCATCATCATCATCATCATCATCATCATCAGCAGCAGCAGCATCATCATCACAAGCATCATCATCATCATCATCATCATCATCAGCATCATCATCATCATCATCATCATCATCATCATCATCATCATCATCATCATCATCATCATCATCATCATCATCATCATCATCATCATCATCATCATCATCATCATCATCATCATCATCATCATCATCATCATCATCATCATCATCATCATCATCATCAGCATCGTCATCATCATCATCATCATCGCTATCACCATCATCATCGTCCTCAGCATCATCGGTATCGGCATCAGCATCATCATCAGCAGCATCAGCAGCATCATCATCATCATCAGCATCATCAGCATCATCATCATCATCATCATCATCATCATCGTCAGCATCAGTATCAGCATCATCATAATCATCATCATCAGCATCAGAATCAACATCGTCATCATCATCAGCATTATCATCCTCCTCATCATCATCAGCAGCAGCATCATCATCACAATCATAATATTCATCATCATCATCATCATCATCATCCTCATCATCATCATCATCATCATCATCATCCTCAGCATCATCATCACCATCGTCATCATCATCATCAGCATCATCATCATCATCAGCATCAGCATCAGTATCAGCATCATCATAATCAGAATCATCAGCATCAGCATCAGCATCGTCATCATCATCAGCATCATCAGCATCATCAGCGGCATCATCATCATCATCATCATCATCATCATCATCATCATTGTCATCATCACCAGTAGCATCATCATCATCAGCAGCAGCATAATCAGCGTCAGCATCATCAGCATCCTCAGCATCATCATCAGCAGCAGCATCCGCATCGTCATCATCATCATCGTCAGTATCAGCATCATCAGCATCAGAATCATCAGCATCGTCAGCATCACCATCATCATCGTCAACGCCATCATCATCGTCATCATCAGCATCAGCATCAGCATCAGCATCAGCATCAGCATCCTCAGCAGCACCAGCATCAGCATCACCAGCAGCATCATCGTCCGCATCAGCATCATCAGCATCATCAGCGGCAGCATCAACAGCAGCAGCATCGTCATCATCGTCATCTTCACCGGCAGCATCATAAGCATCATCAGCAGCAGCAGCATCGTCATCAGAAGCATCATCATCATCAGCATCAG